CTAATCTGCAGAATTGAAGGAAGTAGACTCTAATTCGAACTTGCTGTATAGTGCAACCTTCAAGGAGGTCACAGCAGCTCGTCTGGGGCCGTGCGAGACGGAGACTAGGCTTTTGGAGTGTTTTCCTTTTCCATTATTTTGTTTTTTTTTTCTGCTTCTAGTTGCTCTGTTATCGTTCCCCAGGAATACATGAACTGGATGATTATTTCCTTACTTTTTTTGTATTAAAAAACCTTGCAAGCTGTCGAATAAAGCCCAAAATGTCCCACGCTCAAAACTTGACCCAACTCTCTCGAGTTTTTCTTGCGCAGCAGCAAAGCAAGCTTCTCAAACGTCTGGTTCCTTTCGAGTTGGATCATATTTGTAGTGGCCTTTTCATGCTCTAATACTGGTTCAGGTTCAACAAAGTTTTCTTTTTCTAGGGAAGATCGAAGCTTGCTCATCACTACGTGGATGGTACAAGTACGGTTCACATCAATATGATAGATGAAGCTCCACCTGTTGGCAACGAGCTTGACAACAAACTGCGCGAGAACGGTTAGTTTGCAGTGTTGTCAAAACAAAATGTATAGCTTTATTTGGGGGAACTGAACAATTGGAATTCCGTTGAAGGGATCTTTTATGTGTACTGAGAGAACCCTGATGGGCAATGGTGTTGGAATTTCTTTTTCCTCTAGCTTTTTTTCTTGTGTTCTTCTCGCACTTCTGAGTATGATCTACCGCATGCCAGCCAGTGATGTGCCAGGGGTAGAACATCGTCACCTTTCTATACTTTGTACCTTCCCACTGACCTTTCTTGCTTGGCCGCCTGTTTTCCTGCCCTGAGTGTACCGTTCTCGTAATCGGCTGGAATGAATCGGTATAGTGGATGATGTTGAACAGTTCCTATGTATACGCGTACAATTCGTTTGTTTAGCCTTGGTTTTAGGTGTTTGTCGGCTCGCCTTCTAGGCGTAATGATCGTCCCGATTCTCCACTTATTGCGACTGGACCTCCTTCCGAGAGTACAACCAGTACTGCTACTGTCAACATGAAGGTGCTTTGAACATCGTATAATATATTCATGGTGTTGTTCGGCTTGGAGGGTGCCTTTTCGTTAGTATATGTCAATAACAAGTCTCATTTTGGTAAAATTTGTGCACTCTTATGACGCTGCGAAGAAACACGAGTGAGCCAGTTAGGTTCACATTACTTTGCCGGTTTCACAAGGTCTGGCCGTGTGCAACGGTAACCTGAGTACGATTCGTTTCGCCTTGAAGCCGAACTATGCCTCACCGTGTAATATGCTTCGTTTGCTTCGTAGTGAATTAGGGCTTGGTTCAAGAAGTACTCTAGTACTAGTTATGAATGCGGTTTCAGAATGACGACTTCACCCCTGTACGAAGAGTGGGAGAAGGTCGTAAGAAGGAACAAACACGTGTATGGGCCGTGGGGATCAACGGGAGAAGAGAAATGGAATCCTGACATGGAAATAGGCATGGATTGGAAGTCACTCGTTAGGTTAGCTTGCATATTTTTTGTCACTATTTTTCAGGCTTTCATGATTCCATGTGTTTTTTTAGCTTTGTCAAATAGATTTAGAGAACTCTTCCAGATCTGCTTTGCTTCCGATCACAACCGACTATTTTCCTGATCGGCTCACTCTTATAAGTGACTATCTATATACTGAACATCAAATTTCTGTTGTACAAGAACACGTGAGCTCAATGGTGTTTGCTTTCCTCCCTCCTCCTTTTTTCTTTTGTTAGCAATCGCCTCTTTATTGTGTTTGATGCATGGGCGAGGTGCTTGTCTGAGCTGTTATTTCTTTGAAGGACTAATGTGTATTTGCCTGAGCCAGCTTTTGTGCTGTTAGGCCGCCCGTGCTACACATATGCTTTTCGTGGCTACATGATGACAGGACCACGCGGCGTCGCGCGCGACAGTTGCAAATATTGTATGGTTGCCAACAGCGCACACTCGCGATGGGTTGTTATCGCGACGGTGACATTTCGCCGCTATTTCTTCAACAGGACAATACGTCGCACTCAACAAAACGGCAATAAGTACATACTCTGAGACTGTGCTGTCCAGAAACCATTGTGAAACTAGCTCGCTAACAGAATCTGTACAGCTTTCTCCGCGCCATAATTTCGTGTGTTCACTCTAGTTATGCAGATGAAACAAAACTTAATGGTAAGGACAATTCAAGTATACCAGAGGGAAGAGCGTGGCTGAAAACTGAAGTGAACATGAGCTAGTTCAATAATGCAAGTGAGTTTATCGCGAGCGTGCGCTCCATTGCAAGCCCGTGGTGTTCGCAGATTGCCTGCGCGCGTGACATCGCGTGGGCCTAAAGACCGTCTCCCACTTTTCGTTAGTTCGCATTTGAAACATCGCGATCATTTCCTGGTTGGTGTGTTCGCCTCATCGGGAACGCGCAGCCCTCCATTTAGCCGCGCCCTCATCAGTTTTTTAGACCTCGTCTGAAGTTGGTGGATGTGGGGGCTCCACGACTTCAGAAAAAGCGCGAAACAGGTGAATGCCTTATCAAGGATTAGAGAGGAATCGATTGGCTCTGCTCGCTAATGAACTATGCTTCCCCTTACTAGCGTACATTCAGAAAACGCCAGTGTAAGGGATTAATCGATTCCCATAAGATCTATGGTCGCATTCTGCCGATTTGCCTGTTGCTTTCCTTGGTTGCTTATGCATGCTGTCTGCGTTATTTTTTGATGGGTTCTTATTCAGTTTTTATTTGTTGTGCGTGATTGCATTCTCCCTGTAATTTTCATCTCAGGGTTCACGTGCGAAAATGGATATTAATCAACTATCAAAGCACGTGTTCGAGCAGCTTATTTGCCAGCGTCTTCAACGAGGATTCCAAATCATCCTGATGTCAAAACCTTTGATCCACGTGAGGCGCATTTCCATGGTTCAAATTAGACTTATTAGAAGTTGATTCACCCTTTATAGGTAGCCATCAAACAGAGCTTGTTCGCTCCGATCAATACAGAGCAGACTGAATGCAGCATGTCTCTAAATAAGGCGAGTGTTGGAATATTTCTATATTCTTCTATCGACTTTCCGCATTGAATGGGTGCAATGTGGGTGTAGTTCGGCATATCCTAGTTGGGCAAGGCGACGCAAATGGTAAGCAAATGCAAATGCGAATGCGCGACATTCGAACCAGCACCCAACTATGGCGCAGTTCGGCTTGTTGGGAGGCTTCATAGAATAATCAGATGAGCTTGTACAGGCCACACAAGGTTGTGAAGGCCTGTAAATTCCTGTGAACAAAGTGGCTTCACTTGTACCGTTTCCCAGCTTTACAGGGTTTTACAGGTTCCTCCCAAGTGAGACCTGTTGTTTAACAACTAAAAAGAGGAATTAACGTTTAACACAAAATGCTCCCTCCAAGCCAAACAGCGCCCGCAGTTGATTCAGCGCGGCTACACTGCAGCTGTCAGAACAACTACCTGAGGAAACAATGCTAGTCTGCTCGCCTTGCTGCTAAGGATGACCTGAACTACACTCGATGCCTCGTCACTATAAGTTTTAACGACAGGCCAGCTCCAGACTACCTCTGCTTCTGTTTAGATTGTCCATCGCCTTGTGTTAACAGGATCCGATATCACCGTGACAGTTTTCTATCCGAAGCGAAACCGTGAAGCAGAATCGAGTCCATCGCCTTCAATGCAGCCGTATTCGTACTTCTTCCAGGTACCCGTCTACCCCAACAGTCATCTCGTGCCATGCCAGGTACAGTTCGTAGTTCCACCCAGTACTTCTCGCGTTTTGCATGATCAGAATATCGGAATACTCCAACAGACATCCTAATTAGTTGTTTTCGAGTACATTAAGTGAGTTGTTTATCTCAAACCCTAGCTAGTTTGTCGCGGCTGCTTTCCTCAGTACCACTACATGAGTGTTGCTTGGGCTATTCTCCTAGTTGTTTTCATTTTTTATAATTACCTTGCTACTCGCAGGTCGGTAGCAGCAAAAATTCTATCAATCTCATGTGTGGTGCTCAAGGTTCGCCCTGACGATGACACGCATGCGTTCTGCGTCATTTTTTCGCATTAGGAGCAAAAATGCCACGGCTTCTGATGGCTTTTCATTCTGAAAACTGCTTTTCATGACTTCTTATCAAACATCTGAAGAACTTGTCCCCAAATAACGTTCCGAGTACCTCAATACTATGAAGAATGGGTGAAATGAATTGTTCTGTGCTAGCTGTGATTGTCCTGTCCTCCTACTGTATAGGGCTTCCCGCTTAGGGCGACAAAATTCCGAAGCTGAATCGCCCTTGTTTCAGGTGCCTGATGCTCAGTGCTACGAAAGGAGCACGACTAGGTTCGTGATTTACGTGAATATTTTATGTAGTGTGGTCTGAACCTCGTTTTTCGGATTATGCGTAGGTATACTACTAGGGAAGGTCGTCAGGTCGAAGTGGCCATTTGTGATGAGATGTAGATCACTAGACGTGGTTTTGGACGCTGATCTTGAATCTGCCTTCAAAATTTGCAAAGCGATTCTCTGAACGGAGTTATGGAGCCGCGTTTACCACGCAACAGGTCATGGGATCGGATCCCTGCTGAGCTTAACTTTTTTGCTTTTCAAAAGTGATTTGCGACACTACTACTCAGTTTCAACACCTTAGCTACCTAATATCGCACGAAAGTTTCCTCCATTATTACTGCGCTTGGACTCCTTCGCGAAGCACACTGTAGCTGCACTGATACGTCTGCAAAGGAGTTCAAGCGCAGTAATAATGGAGCAACCTTTTAGACAAGCTTCAGGCTGAGAACTGGAGGTAGATAGTGACGCAAAAATACTTCTTTGCCACGTATTTCTGCGCAACAACAACAGATGTTAAGCTCAGCACGGCGTCCGAATCCCAATGAATGTTGGTGACCGTTGTCAACGCGTGCACTAACTCGCCTCAGAGAATCACTTTGACTTACATTTTAGAACGGCAGATTCAAGATCAGCGTCCAAAATCACGTATCGTGATCTGAATCTCAATGAGAAATGCATTCGACTTGACGACCTTTCCCAGTCAGATAGGCGGTAAGATGTAGGCAGGCCACGTCGTAAATTGGAAATAACACCCAGCAAGGGGTAGTCATCTCTCTCACTATCGAGTTTGTAAAAGACAACATCAATGTGTTATTGCAGTTGATCTGATTTTCGCGATTTTTCCCGGACCACGCCCCTGTAAAACCCTCACTTCACGTGTGACGAGCACTGTTCAATAAAAGAATGATTCGTTTTTACACCACCGCCAGGGCCGGCACGTTCTTTGCGAACAAAAAAACTGGAAGAAGTTTCTGCAACGTGGCAGCGCCTCCTTATAGGAAAGATAGTAACGATAATCTACAGAGGTCACTACCACAGAAGCAAAATTTTGAAAGGAATCGGTATTTGCGCAGTCCAACCCGCCTATAAAAGGGACACTGTGCTGTGGAGCCATCTACTCGCTGTTATTTTTTTTGTTTTTTTGGGACCGAGTAATCACTATCACGCGACCTGAGCAATTCAGTCCCGTGATTGCGACCGGCACGTTCTACCGCTAGTACCGCTGCAACCTCTTATTAAATTAGGGCGGAACGTCTTTCGGTTGTTGCACGGGTTCAGCGATTAGTGGCGGAACCGAGTCGGTAGTCAATCGCGCTACTCAATCTCTAGTATCTCGGAATGTGAACGGGATTTGCAACACCTGTCCGACAAGGCACTCCTGATGAGAAGTGAGTCCTGACCTAAGATTTTGAAAGGGAGTGCCTACATGGGACGTCAAAACTCCTGGACAAGGGCCAAAATCCATCTGATCATCTTTTAGGCCGTAGTGGGCCCAGCTCTGCACCCAGGGCACATCGTCGCGTTGTTAGAACTGTTGGTATTTGCAACCCTTTTTTATGAAATTCCACCCTCAGTACGACCCCCTTTTGCAACCCTCCTCTTTTCTCTCCAATTTTTTTCTCCCAAAATTCTGCTCTCAGGCGTGAGCTTACCTCCGATCAATATCGGAAACAGAACTTTTCTGCGCTAGGGGGAGGGTTTGCTTATAGCTTCTTCGCTGCCTAGTTACGACACCCCTCCCCAGTGTGTTTTACGCAGTGATCATATGCCCAGTCTGCACCTGTTTTTGACTTTGCAATGTTGAAGTTGGGATGAACACCTGACAGCCCAGGACCGCATATGGGGAAACTAGAGTTCTTCGTCTAGTGGTTTCTGTGGAACAGCTAACGTTTTATTTTAGTTTCAAACCACACAATTTGGATAAGTTGAATTGGAGTTTGTTGGACTGCAATATCAAGTACCGTAACAATTCGCAAATGTTCAAAGAAGAGATGAAGAGTTATTCTTCGAGGTCGATTTTTTTCCGAACATTTTTGATATCAGGATAAACTGTAGGAACAGCAGGAATTCAAGATACTTCCACTTGTGGGAGGCCTATGGAACCTTTCAATAGCATTATTCAAAT